TAAGGACATTTGTAAAGGACGAGTCTGTCGATTTGAATTGGATGGTAAATCGGTTGGTACGGTAGAAGTTGTCATACGAGTTGTTGGTAACATCAATGGATTTTGTTGAGAATTATGAAGTAGCGGAGTATTAAAATTATGTTGAATAGACGGAGCATTTGTATTACTTTCAAAATTTTGTTGTGTATTAATATTCATTCCTATAAGAGGTCTAGCGACTGAAGTGGGAGACGTGTTAACTAAAGTTCTGTAAGTTACCGTTTGATCAAGGGCATATATTGGTTGGTTCATTAAAGGAACTACTTGAGGAGCAGTAACTGCTTGTTGCATTACTCCTGGCTGTCCACTTTGAGGACCTCTGGAAGAAGATGTTAAACCGATTGGATGACTCGATACATTTTGCATTGTCATGTTTCCAGAATTTGGCATAATTGCTTGAGGTTGGGCATGCTTCATGAGTGGACTAGATGAATGACGTGTCATTTGTGATATCCTGGGTGGAATATTGGGACTGGGTACATGTGCATTATAAACCATTCCATGGTTTGGTATTAATGGAGATATCGGATCTGGGCTCTGAGAAAAGCCAAGACTTCCCTGAAAAACCGACTCGTTAGATAAAAGTTCCTTTATATTTGCTGTAAACTATGATAATGTTCGTACCAACCTGCTGTAAAGTATTTTGTTGGGTGTTAGAAGCCTGTTGTATATTTGGGCGTATTGCTTGAATCGGTACATTCGTTTGCTGCATTCCCACAGGCTGATGGACATTCGTTTGAGGACCGCTAATGAGTGGCCTCCTTTGACGTTCTTGACTCGAAGCCGAACCCGTTGAGGATGGATTATCGAGTGGTGATTTATGCATCTTTTATGTTCTTCCAATTCTTTTAATAATAATTCGTTTGTGAAAAAAACAATGATTTAGAACAGTTTTGAAACGCAGCATTATCGTTATACATTGTGTTTGGGTGGCTTAGTATTAATATAATGGACCTGGTGTTAAATAAATAAATGATCTCTGTACGTATCAGCTTACTGCAGGGAGTTAAATAGAACACCCCCGATTTCTAATAAGTTTTTTTTTCTAATTGCAAAAGTTTCCTTAATCATTTTTCCCGATCTTTTTTTTTCGTATTACTCGTACGTACGTACGTACGTATTTCGTTAGTACCATATCTATGGTAAATGAAACCTCATAGATCTTATACAGGGGATCCCTGAAATTCTGGATCGGAAGGAATCGGTACTAGGCCGGAATTGGAACGTCCCAAGTTTGTAGATCGTTACACAAGCAATTCAATTGATTCGGAATTTTTTTTATACTTTTTCGGAAGCTCGGAGATTATCTCTTTTGTAAACCCAGCCAAGCGTACTAAATGAACTTGAAGCTTTCGTAATGGACTATAATAATATCAGCTTAATCATTCTAAATCATTCGTCCTTCGTATTAAAATCTACCTACCAAAGTTATAAGTAAATTACAATCACTATATCTTTTTGTTGAACAAAAAAACGTATAAAAAAGCTTAAAATAATGATCAATAACGTTTGTATAGGAGGAATAATTAGTTTGTATATTCGTGTTGCATAGAAATCCTTTAGAAATTAAAAGTATATATAATGTTAATTAACTATGCGATTTATTAATAATATTATTATAGGTGCTTTTATAATACGATAAAAGTTTATATATGAGATGTATTAAAATCGCAAATGTTTTTCATTAGAATGATAATTGTGTAAGATAGCATAGTATAAGATATTAGAAATTTGAGATATAGAATTAAATGTAGGATTAGAGGTAGAATTAAACATATAAATATATTTATTAAGATTTTGTAAATAAATAAAAATAAATACTATGAAAAATCAATAATTTCGATTTAAATTAATAAATACATGCTTGCTTATCTAATACTGTAGTAACATTTAGTGACAATTATTTTGATAAATTTTAATTAAATTTTGTTTCTTTTTATTATTTTATAAAATTTATGATTTGATTGGCTAATCAACATGTGATATTTTTATATGATAAAAATTTATGATTAAACTAATATGTATAATTAGGATCACTGAAAAATACAACTCTTCCTAATGATTCTTTGGTCAACAACTTCAGAAAATTAAACTACAGAAAAATGTTATAGAAGATATCAAAGTATTTAATAAACTTGATTTTACACAAGTAGATGTGTTGTCAATAAAGTACCAAGAATATAAAACCAAGGCATAAACTACTTTGGATAGTTTTTGTAAAGGTCAAACTTTTCTGTAGTAAACTCCTGTATTATATTCAGCATTTTAAGAACACAAAATAACTAGGTCAATATTAGAAATATTAAAAACTTAGATTATCACTATACAACTATAAAACTTACAAAGAACAATTACAAAAAAACTATATTGATCACCACTTTTTTTGAAAAATTTTTTATCAAAAAGTGAGCATCTTAGTTTAGCTTTTCAAAAGATTGATATATAAATTTACCAAAATAGTCTGTATTGTTGATTTCTTAATACAAATATTTTATATCATTTGTTTATTTTATAAATCAGTAAACAATTATGCAGATGGTTATTTGGAGTAGGAAATGTTATACAGGTGAGTAAGCGAAACAAATAACTGAGACAACACAGTAGTGATATGCCTCAATTTCTGTAAATTGTTAATGATATTTTGAGACTATCTTAAAAACTACTCTGTTTAGTTGAACTTAGTTTTTTTTAGTTTAGTTTATATTTTTTTTCCTTTATAGGTTTTTTATAGATATATATTACAGTATACATTAAGACCAGATATAATTATGCATTTAAAAAGAGTATGCATTTATAGAATTAACTTTTCTAAATACATGCTTTAGAAATTAGATATAGATATGCACTTAAAGAAGGTTTGGCTTATAAAATTAATAAATAAAAATCTAAATTGTTATACTATATATTATAAATTCATCATATGGATTAGTAGTTTAATATTCATTATATGCAATTTAACTTTTTACAATTGAATTCATTACAAAATTTTTAAATTATATGGATATATATATATATATATTTCTAATATATATAGATTAAAAATAGCAAGTCCAAAATTAGATAAAATTAATCATGAAAATTTTTAAATTTATCAATAAAAACAGTATTACAATAAATAAACTTTGTGTATTTCATTTTTAGAAAACAAGAATAATGCTATCCCTTGGGTTTGGGCCCTATAGCTTAGTGGTTAAGCTGCCAAACCCCCACAGACTAGGTCGACGGTTCAAGTTAGGCTGGAGGCAAAAATCTTAGGATTTTTCGCTTCTGTAACCCAAAAAGAAAGCTATATTGAATGCGGAGCCCTGTGGCTAAGTCCAAGTGCAAGTACGAAACTGAAAAAGGAAATTCCCGGAAGAAGGTCTAATTGTGGAGCAATAGCATTACGTATAGTATCGGCGATGATGTCGTGTGTTATAGAAGGTTCTGTTATACAAGATTGCGTAGATAAGTCCTCGATTAGGGGTGACCGGAGCAGTACCAACATCCCTAGCAGTTGGAGTACTTGATTGGGAACGTGTTCGACGATAACAAAACTGGAGTAGTAAGAAAAGTGGTGAACACAAGGATGACTTGTGGTAAAGGATTGGTCTATTCGGAATTGGAAGCACCTCTGACATTCCGTACGATACCAGATCAAGAAAATGGATTACTTAAATAGAGAGAGATCAGCAGGCAACTTGGGGTATGCTTAAAACGCGACAAAGAACGGCAAGGTTGTACCCAACTGGAAATAGTAATACGAAATATAACACTAGAAATACCAATATTAGTAAGCACCAAGGAGGGTTGAGATACCCTTAATTTGGAAGTGACCCTGTCACGAAAAACTCAGTTAGAAGTTTCGATGCCAATCCTGTGATACACCAATTCGGGGAGTACCTGTTATCAAGACCTGCATGCATATGACCAACATTGTACAAAACCACAACACTAACATTGAAAGTAACCGTGAGGCTACGATTGCCGGATGCCTTTTAATGGGATCTGTAATGGATACCGCACTGAGTATCAAGCTGGAAGTATCCTGTTGTTAGTATAAGAAATGTGGTGAATCTATGGGTAAAAAATTGATTGACTGGGTAGTATACAAAATCCAAGTCGGATATTAAGGCTCTGGTAGGTTTAGGTCACGGATAAAGTAGTCTGAGTCTCGTATTCTGTAATTAGTCAATTA